AGCTGGAGGAACACAGCAGGCCAGGCAGCATCAGAGGAGCAGGAAAGTTGACGTTTTGGGTCAGAACCCTTCTTTGGTTTCTAGTTTAGAAAGGCATCATGTGTCGTGCAGTCTTGGTGGGCCAAAGGGCCTGTCCCTGTGCTGTACCACTCTTTGTTCCTTGCTTTTTTCTTAATTATCCATATAATTTTTCTCCCAGATTTGACTTGGACATCAACCTCTAATTCCTTTGGAGTCCATGATCATCCTGGCGGTCTGACAACATTATCACAAACAAGAGATTAATGCTTGTAATATTATCCTCCTTACCTTTACAAGTTGTTGCATTGCCGGAGCTCCCAGGAATGGAGGTAAACCCTTTACCACAGTAACACTCATAGCTCCCAGGCAAGTTGCGACATATTGCGGATGGATCACATGGTGACAATTTACACTCATCGAAATCTGTGTAAAACAGTAATGTTTGTTGATGGCTGGATCACCATTTTGCTCTAATTAGAACCTCACATATAGGAGCATGAGCAGGCCACTCGGCCCATCTAGCCTGCTCCACCGTCCAATAGCTGACCCAATTGTGGCATTCACTCCACCTTCCTATCTGTTGCTCATCACTCTAAGCTCTTCTATTGATTGAAAAACCATCTCATGTGCCTTGAATATAGAAACAAAGAGAATAGGAGCAGGAGTCGACCATTTAGTACTTGAGTATGTGCTCTCATTCAATATAATCATGGCTGATCATCCTACTGGTTTCTGTGCATAGGCCTTCGACAGGCATTAATAAAATTAGGGGGCACATTGTGCCGGAAGTTTTGAATGCACTGTTAGAGGATGCGGTGGAGGCAGATAAAATAGCAACGTTTAAGAGATGCCTTGACAGATTCATGAATAGGCAGAGAATAGAGGGATACAGACCATGTAGAGGCAGAAGGTTTTTAGTTTCGAAATGCATCATGTGTCGACGCTGTTTTGGGAAATGAAAGCACCTATTCCAGAGCTGTACTATGCTTTATTCTTTGTTTTCTTCATTACGCCTCTGATTTTTCACCTGGCTTTGACTTGGACATCAATCTCTAATTCCTCTGGAGGCCAGGGCCATCCCAGAGAACTGACAACCTTATCACAAACAAGAGATTAGTGTCCCCGATTAATTGCTTGTAAGATTATCCTCTTTACCTTTACAGGTTGTCGTAATGCCAGAGCTCCCAGGAATGGCGGTAACCCCTTTGCCACAGTAACACTCATAGCTCCCAAATAAGTTGCGACATGTTGCTGATGGTTGACACGGTGATGATTTACACTCATTGATATCTGTGTAAACAATCATATTTGTTAATGACTGGGTCATTATTTTGCTGGAAATAGAACCTCAGATATAGGACCATGAGCAGACCACTGAGCCCCTCAAGCCTGCCCCACCATTCAATGGCTGACCCGATTTACTGTCTGTTCCTCATAACCCTCAACTTGATTGTCGATCGAAAATCCATCGCATGCACCTTGAATATCAAAACATAGAGAATAGGAGCAGGAGTAGGCCATTCAGCCCTTTGAGTACGCTCTGTAATTCAATATGATCATGGCTGATCATCCTACTGGCTTCTGTGCACAGGCCTTGGAGTGACATACGACCATTAAGAAAATTAGGGGGCATGCTGTGCTGGAACTTATGAATGCACTGCCAGAGGAGGTGGTTGAGTCTGATACCACAGCAATGTTTAAAAGGCATCTTGATAGATAAATGAATAGGCAGGAAATAGAGGGATACAGACCACGTAGTGGCAAAAGGGTTTCAGTTTAGAAAGGCACCACGTGCCGGCACAGTCTTGCTGAACCATAGGGTCTGATTCTGTGCTGTACTATTATTTTTTATTTGTTTTCTTAAGTATTTCTCCAATTTTTCTTTTGGGTTTGATTCAGACATTAGTCTCTCACTCCTTTGGAGTTCAGGGCCATCCCAGAGAACTGACAACCTTATCACAAGCAAGTGATTAGTGCCCCCGATTAATTGTTTGTAAAATTATGCCACTTACCTTCACAAGTTGTTGCAATGCCAGAGCTCCCAGGAATGGTGGTAAGCCCTCTACCACATTTACACTCGAAGCTCCCAACGAAGTTCTGACATGTTGCAGACCGATCACACGGTGATGATCTACACTCATCGATATCTGGGTAAATATAAATGTTTATTAATGGTGGGGTCACTATTTTGGTCTAAGTAGCGCTGAAAATATAGAAGCATGAGCAGGGCACTCAGCCCCTCAAACCTGATCCACCATTCAATAGTTGACCCAATTTCTGCCTTCACTCCACTTTCCTGTCAGTTCTTCATATCCCTCAAATCATTTGTTGATTGAAAATCCATCTCGTGCTCCTTGAATATAGAAACATGGTGAATAGGAGCAGGAGTAGGCCATTCGGCCCTTTGTATATGCTCTGTCATTCAATATGATCATGGCAGATCATCCTACTGGCTTCTATGCACAGGCCTTGGAGAGCCATGCAGCCTTCAGGAAAATTAGGAGATACGTCGTGCAGGAACTTCTGAACAAAGTCTTTTGCCCGTGATTGTTTCTGTGCAGTTTTGGTCTCCTTATCTGAAGATGGATGTTCTGGCTATGGAGGCAGTGCAGTGAGCTGATTCCTGCGATGGTGGGACTGATATACAAGGAGAGATTAAATCAGTTAGAATCCTAACTGCTGGAGTTCATAATTGCTGGAATTCAGAAGAATGAAATGGGGCACCTCTTGGAAATCTATAAAACTCTAACAGGACTAGACAGGATAGATACAGGAAGGATGTTCCAATGACGGAAGAGTCCAGAATCATAAGTCACTGTTTAAGGATATGGGGTAAACCATTTAGGACTCAGATGAGCAGAAATCTCTTCACCCACAGAGTGGTGAGTCTCTGAAATTTGCTATCACAGGAAGCAATCAAGGCCAAAACATTTTAGGATTTCAAAAAGGAGCTGGGTATAGCACTTGGGGCTAAAGGGATTAAAGGATATGAAGGAAAAGCAGGAATAGGCTACAGAGTTAGATGATCAACCATGATCTTAATAAATAGCGTAACAGGCTTGAAGGGCCAAAAGACCTATTCCTGCTTTGTTCTCTGTGTTTCTACGACTTGACTAAAGCCTGCTGACAACCATGACAAGGTTCCTTGCTTTCAGTCTGTGCTGAATAACAAGGCCAGGCAGAAGTAATATGAGCAAAATACTGCGAATGCTGGAAATTTGAAAAATAAATCAGAAAAAGCTGGAGAAGCTGAATTAACATTTTAAGTCTGATGCTCATCTTCAGAAGTAGTAGGAGCCTGGTGTGTGGGACTGAGAGGGTAAAGCACAAAAAGCCAAGGTAACGTACGGTAGGCAATACTGTGAGCATCCAGGTAAGGCTTGCAGTGAGTGTGCATTATGACAATAACCAAACAGCCTGGAGTTACTGCCTGGTGTAGTCCATGAGCTGGGTCTGTGTCCAAGAGCCCTTGAGTGTCCTTGCTGCAACATTACAATGATCTGTGCTGGAGCAGTGTTCAAATGCAGAAGTGGATCGGAGATGTTCCAAAGAGTTCGTCGAGGATGGAACATGTTGGATGTCAATTTACATGGATTTGAGGTATGTTTGGCTGTTAAGATATCGGTGCCTGATGTCTGATATAGGTATCCTTCAGGGTAAGTGGTAGTCACCAGGTCCCCGTTCTGATTTCTATATTGAGCATCCTGACCTCAAGCTTGTTTGATGCATTTGGTCAGATAGGAAGCTGAATACTGACAAGGTGAGTAATGCTGTTAACAAGGCGTTTAACAAGCTATAATCCCTCTTCATTAGCAACCCACTCAGCCTGAGTGGGAAACTTGCCTCACAGCTTGGCAAAAACATAACAGATGCTCCCGATGTCGAGATGTGCCTCGCTCAAATCCTGGCCAGATTCTGCCACACAGCTCACCACAGCCAATCTCGCCCAGACCTTATTAAGTTCCGCTCCACCTTTCACTCTTCCTATGGGTATAGGCCCACCCAATCCTCATGTGATAATGTCATCATCCCAGGAATCAGCTTCCAATTCAAAATATATTGCTCCTTAAAGAAGTTGCAGGGAGAACTCTGGATGGGTTCTCTCGAAAGCCCTTATATCTGTTTCAGGACTCCTTACTTTTATACACCATTCCACTTACAATAAAGGCCACCTTCTTTCACTTTAAAATATAAAAAGATGGCTTGTGCAGACATTGTTCACAGAGATGACAGTCATTGGTGTGGGGTATTGTTGTAGGTATGGGTGTGGGGAAGGGATGTAAGACATTGGTGTGGGGAACAGATGTGAGGCATGGATGTGAAGCATATGTGTGAGGCATGGATGTGGGGAATGGATATGAAGCACATGTGTCAGGCATGACTGTGAGGAAAGGATGTGAGACATGGATGTGGCTATGACTGTGGGGAAAGGATGAGGGGAATGGATGTGAGAATGTGTGTGAGGCATAGGTGTTTGATATCCATCCATGGTGTAAGCTACAAATACTGCAGCCTCCTACAGACAAAGGGGGTAGCCATGGGTACCCGCATGGGCCCAAGCTACGCCTGCCTCTTTGTAGGTTACGTGGAACAATCCCTCTTCCGTACCTACACCGGCCCTAAACCCCACCTCTTCCTCCGTTACATTGATGACTGTATCGGCGCCGCCTCGTGCTCCCACGAGGAGCTCGAACAGTTCAT